GGGTGTAACGGCAGAAGCAGGGGGTTGTGTACACGGTTGCAGCTATATGGTTAGTTGGGGGTTGGCAGGGACACGTGCCACTCTTGGTGGGAGGGGACCGGTTGGGATTGAGGGAGCACAGCCAGTGGTGCCCGATCCGGCCCTCTGCTTTGTTCTGCCAGCTGTTGGTGTCACGGTCACCACTGAGAATCAATGAACCCCAAGCGGATAGTCACTGCCTTAATGCTCACTAACACACCGTTATCTGCAGATTGAGCTTCAAATAGTCCACAAGGGGGAAAATAAAATAAAGAAAATGTTTTCAAATGCTATATAACATAAGAAAAGCTATTTAAAACATGTTGAACAAAAAAACTGTAAAGCATTTTTTGCAAGTAACTTGCCATTTTACCCACATGAAAAAAATAAGACATTAATTTAAAGTAAATGCTAAAGTATTTTGAGCCATGCTATAGTAAATTTTGTTTATTTGTTATTCACAACACCATAAATGAATGCTACAACATACTGTAGTATTATAGTCATCTGATAAACTGTAATAAACACTGTAGTATATTTTCATTTTTGCTACAGTAAACTGGTGTATATACGGTGGCTGAGAGAGCCATCTTCATTTGTTCAAACGTGCTGCAAATACTAACAAAGCAAACACATTTTTTAAAAAACACTCTGCATTTTCTCACAACGCAAACAAATTAATGAAACATGCTGCATTTTCTCAAAACAGTTTCAAATAGCATTGAGCAAAATGTTTTAAGTGGACGCAAAAATGTGGCTATTTAGGTTATTGTTATTTAGGCTAATAAAATACAAAAGACAAGGGAATCGGGATATTAATATAATCAAACCAAAAAGTCACAAAAAATCACCTACAACTTCACTGAGCAATAGTCACAACACAGCTGCATCTGTCACATTTTTGGGTCCAATTGAAACATTTTACGTTCCACGCTATTTGAAAGTGTTGTGAGAAAATGCAACACATTTTATTAATTTGCTTGCGTTGTGAGAAAATGCATTGCGGTTTTGTAAATTATTTGCGTTGTGCGAAAATTTAGCACGTTTTATTCATTTGTTTGTGTTGTAAGAAAATGCAGCACGTTTTATTAATTTGTTTGTGTTGTAAGAAAATGCAGCGCTTTTTATTAATTTGTTTGCATTGTGTGAAAATGCAGAACGTTTTATTAATTTGTTTGCATTGTGAGAAATGCAGCACTTTTTATTAATTTGTTTGCTTTGTGTGAAAATGCAGCGTTTTATTAATTTGTTTGCTTTGTGAGAAAATGCAGTGCGTTATATTAATTTGTTTGCATTGTGTGAAAATGCAGCGCTTTTTATTAACTTGTTTGTATTGTAAGAAAATGCAGCGTTTTATTAATTAGGTGTCTTGCAGTATAGTACACATATAGTTCTAGAAAATGTATATGCAGTACTGGATGGCTTATTTAACTATTTAATTACTTTGCTACATCAATTATTACCACAGCAAATTAATTCAAGTGCTTAAGACACTATAACATTTACTTTAAATGACTATAGTATTTTTTCATGTGTGATGTTTCAGATAGAGTGTACAATGAGGCTCATGAGTCTTCAATCTTCAAAAAAAAGTATATATAGCTACTATTTATCGAACACTAAAATACATTACAAAGTCCAAAACAAAGATGAAAAGAAAAACATTTATTTGTTAGCAAACTGTAATATAATGGATGAACTATTTAATATCTGCTTTAATAGTTTGCAGTGTAAACAGTTTTTAATTGAGTAAATTGGCTTTACTCTAAGTACACAAAAGGTGTATGAGCCAACATTAGCATTAGTATAGAGACTGCTTAGTGGGATTCAGTTTGTTTGCTTTTGCATAAACTAACATCCTATGTTTTTTGTTTTGTTTTGTTTTTTTTAGATTAACAGTTTAATTTACTAGAGAAGTAAAATCTGTTGTTAGCATCCTACCTTAATAATAAGGTAGGACTACCTTAACGTTAACTACCTCCTAATAATATCTACAACACACTTAAGACAGTGTCATCTTAATTTATGTTGCAGAATAATATGTTAAAATCTCTTCAAGTAATGTAGGCCTACTAGTTAAGTTACTGTATAATACATGAATAGGCCTACTCTAAAAGTCCACAGGAAAGTCGAGCAGAAATTTGGTGAGATTCTTTCTGAGTTGACTGAACAGGTCAACTGGGGTACATTTGTCTTGTCCTCAAAGCAAAGCAAGACTTTCTATCTACATTAGTCTACAAAAAATAAAAAAAGCACTCTCAGACAAACCTTAACGAACATTTTTGACGAGACGTTTAAAGATTAGACTTGCTGCTGCCCCCTGTACAAACAAAAAGAAAACTTGATTAAATTTCAAGACCTCTAAATAAAGGCTTCTGCTGCCACCTAGAGGCTTCTAGTGGATTTAAATTCAGACAAAATAGTTAAATTAACCCTTAAAAGTACTATTATTGCTTTCGAGAATATGTTTGTTCACTCTAATCGTGCAGCTAGTCCGTGTTTGTTTAAATCCTTTACCTGACAGATTTACAGTCTGCAACTCTTCTCACAGGTAAGCTGAAACCAAAGAAACTGTCCCAACTCGTTCTGGATTTTTGGCAGTTTGTGTTTTTTTTTTTTTTTTTTTTTTTTTGCCAAAAGCTGACAGTGACAACTCTACACGGTGTGTTGCCATGTAGACATGGTAGGTTGGTTTCAAAATTCTTGAACGGACTATTAAACTCGATAACATTCAGTTGCATACAAACAAAAACATAAGCAGGTCATTTCGGGTACAGCAGGTTCATGTGTGAATCTTGCACGTAAAGGAGTAGTTCTCCCAAAGATGAAAGTTATGCTATTACTTGCTCATCTCCTATTGTTCCAAAACCTGTTCGAGTTTCTTTCTTCTATTAAACACAAAATAACATGCATTACCAGGGCTGCCAACTTTTGGTTTTAGCTTGGACAATTTATATAATAAATTCTAAAATAATTTTACAATGTGGATTGTGTCAAAGCAGCTTCACATAAAAGATCATAGTAAATTGAAACAGTGTAGTTCAGTTTTCAGTGTTTAAGTTCAGTTCAGTGTGATTAATAATAACTACTGAGACTCCATACACTGAAGAGCAATCCATCCGTGCGCAGCTCTACAGATCCTGAACCATGCAAGCTAGTGGCAACTGCGGCGAGGAAAAAAGTTCACCAATTAGCAAAATGAAGAATTAAAAAATATGGAGAGAAACCAGGCTCAGTTGGGCATGACCTTTTCTCCGCTGGCTTAACGTCTTGTGCAAAGCTGCAGTCAAGGCGGCGGATGCTGGAAGCTGGACCTCAGCGAAAACTCGTCTGTCTCTGGAGCATCACAGCAGCTGCTCAGGATTCGGCCTGGTCAAGGATATGGAAACCATGGGATCATCTCCTCGCTGGTCTTGGATCGAATCAGTGGCGCTGCGTAGTCTGAGGGTCTTGAGATGAGTATCCCCAGGTGGAAATAGAGAATAAAGAGAATAATAAGCGTAGCTGCAGTTCATAGTTTATATAAATGAGATGCAGAAACCTGCGTGGAGCACATTCATGTATCATAACCCTCAGTGATGCACTGAGTGTATGCTTTACTAAAAAGATAGGTCTTTAATCTAGTACTGAATTGGGAGAGTGTGTCTGAGCCTCGGAGATTATCAGGAAGGCTATTCCAGAGTTTAGGAGCCATAAATGCGTGCTCGACCTCCTTCACTCGACTTTGCTGTATTAGAACAAAGGACCTTCTTGCTGTGAGGCGACAGCATCACCTACTGCGCCACTGTGTTGCCTATTTTATTAAATACTTTTTATAAAATTCATTCATTTCTTCATTCATTTTCTTTTCGGCTTAGTCCCTTTATTAATCTGGGGTTGCCACAGCGGAATGAACCACCAACTTATCAACTTACTGTTTTACGCAGCGAATGCTCTTCCAGCTGCAACCCATCTCGGGGAAACATCCACACACACTCATTCACACTCATACACTATGGAAAATTTAGCCTACCCAGTTCACCTGTACTGCATGTCTTCGGACTGTGGGGGAATCCTTAGCACCCAAAGGAAACCCACGCAAACGCAGGGAGAACAGGCAAAGTCCACACAGAAACGCCAACTGACCTGGACTTCAGGTAAACTGATGATCAATTTATGAGTCAAAATAAAGACAGATTTTACAATCTGAGCATGAATAATATAATCATATTGGGTACATCTTCCAACATGAAGACATAAAAATACACACAGTATCAGGAATTCTTTTGTAACATTAATGCATCAACACATTAATGAATGCAATAAAGATCCAAATCATAGACTATAAGCATTTCCTTAAACCCAAATGGGAATTTGTGCAGCAGGCATGTGCAGCTGCAACATTTCACAGCAGGTTTGTCCCGTTTTGACCCCTTAACACAGAGTAATCTTCAATATCCGTCTGCCTTTCTAATTCTCCACTGCTATTTGAGCAGTGAAACATATTCCCACACAAAGGCTCACAGCCAGACGATTCAGGCATATTTAAGGTCAAGTTGCGTTGGGTTAAAACCAGATGAGGACTGGATATGAGCCAAATAAACTCTCCGCCTCTGTTTCCCCCTCCTTTCAGCCCCATTTCTAGTGTTTTCTTCAGGGATCACCATTTCCTCTGTTCTCTGAATGTTTCATTCCAAAACCACTATCTTACGTGTTCAAAATCAAGTCTATCAAAATGAAATAAGAGAAAGAAAGAGATAAATAGTGAAGTTTAGAAGTAAACAAACAAAAAAGCACTGAACATTGTTGAGTTAATCTTCAGTGCTGACGTCCTGGTGAACAGTGAAGTCACATGGTCATCTCAGATTGTTTACTTGCACAGTCTCTCACAGTTTGAAATCCCTTCTAAACCCAGTACAGCTCTCCCTCTCTCTCTCTCTCTTCTTTCTCCACCCACATCACTGTTTTCACAGTCAGTTTTTGTTTGTTAGTGCCAACAGACGAGCAGGGAAATACACACTTTTTCTTTGTTGATTTTGTTAATTTTGCCGTCCCATCGTCTCGTCTCTCAGGAAAACTGTAAGTATGATGAGGAATCTTTTTAGAAACTGTAGGAAAAGAATATTGTGGGCTAAAAAATCAGGAGTAGGAAATGCATCTGTGAAACAAAAGCACATTAAACTGGGAAAAATACTAAAGATGCATTTTTTTTTTGCAAAGAGAAAAGGCTACAAGGTAATCTTTATGCTTTGGTAGAAATGGATGAATAGGCCAGCGTTCAGCACTGCTGCTAAACCGATAAAACATGCAGAGCACTAGTTGAGGTTAATGCATTTATATAACGCCTTCTTTGTTTCATTCACTTGTATATAGATGTAAACTGACCGCAATGTTTTGACTTAAGAAAATGCATTTTAGAGCAGATAATTGAATTACGAGGTATTTGGTGGGATTGTGTGTGAATTCGGCTTGATCTTCTGTTAGTTGTGTCCATTTTAATTACTGCATATGTCTGCACTTGGAGATAAATGGAAACTAAGCTTGGCACAGATAAATATGTTGTGTTTGTGACAGCAAATAGTCATTTGCATTCTTTAAAAAAATAATAAACCAAATAAATGTATAATTAATCTCTTGTAATGCATTACAGTAAGGCCAATTAGTGATGCATTAGGTTAAGTTTATTTATTTATAAACTACTTTTAAAAACAGCCACAAGTCTGACCAAAGTGCTCTACATAATCGAGAGTAAAATATAGATACAATGAAAACAACATAGAGGTAAAACCAAGAGAAACCACAGAATAAATTTACTGAATAAAGCAATCGACAAAACTATTATAGTATTAGTATTAAAAAGCCAAGTCGAAGAGGTTCATTTTTAAGAGTAATTTTAAAATAGATAGTGATAGTTTAACACTGAATCCATTAACATTACATGTTACAGTACATCATTTCTAACATCATTTAAATAATGCAATTAAAAATGCAAGTGTCCATTCTACTTCATGTTAACTCAGGTGCATTAAATAAAATTAACATGCAAATGTAGATATTACTGTAGATCAGAACAATAAATAAGTATTTTTCATATATAAATTAATAATGAAATAGTTGAAAGTTGATGTCAATTATTATGTTTTTTTATATGACTGTAAAAACATCAGTTTTCCAAGAACTGTGTACCATAGGCACTGGTTGTTAAAGGAGCCTTACGGTAATTAACAGCAAAAGATGATTATGTGACCAGACTGAACAAGCAGGGATTTGGATTTGATCCAGATCAGGAGGAGTAACTAAAGCAACACAAGACTTTATAAAGCTTTATGAATAGGTCAAAGACAAGACACGACAACCCATTTTGGTGTCTGCATCACATACAATTGACAAAAGTTATTTAAAAATACATAAAAAGTGGATTAAATAAAATAAATGTTGTATTTTATGTTTAAAATAGGTTTTGTAAAAAAAAAAACAAAAAAAAAACCCTGAAATAATAATCATCATTCAGCATTACAAAGATTTAAAAATGAATATTATTAGCAACCTTTCTATGATCTAAACTTATTTAAGTTTGAAAAACAGTTTCATGGATAATTGTGGCAAAGTTTTAAGATATAATGAATACATTTTTGTTACAGAATACATTGTTGCATAAATGACATGTTAGCTGGTGTCTTCTATATCACAGGTGTCAAACTCAGTTCCAAAAGGGCCGCAGCTCTGCACAGTTTAGTTCCAACCCTAATTAAACACACCTGATCAAACTAATCGAGTCCTTCAGGCTTGTTTGAAACCTACAGGTAAGTGTGTTGGAGCGGGGTTGGAACTAAACTGTGCAGTGCTTCGGCCCTCCAGGAATTGAGTTTGACATCCTTGTTCTATATCATTGTAATATACATTATAGTCATGATTTTATTCTCAGAAAAAAAAAATTATGAAAAGGGGGCTGTTTTAAATCTATAGTTCGAAACCCCTTTGCAGAGTAAAGTGGCACACTATGTCAAAACAGCTTTAGATAGTGTAACTGAATGTAATACACTAACATATGAAGGTACTTACATTGAGACAATGATATTCAACTTGATCTCAAAAGCTCATCTAGTACTTAAATAGCTAAAATGGATCAGGATTTGTTCAAAAAGCAGAAACATTTCCTTTTTTTTTTGCTATCCTAAATGTCATCCAGCCAGCTGTTGTTGTCTTTTTCTGTGGATTTAACTATTATTTTTTTGTGTGTGGATCAGATGCTTCGCTTGACAGCGGGACGTTTAGGGGGTCTTTTGACTCGACGGGGAGTCGCTGCATTCAGCTCCAGCAGCGTCAAGATGGCCAGCCATGGCCATGGTATGTGAAGTGTCCTTTTCAGAATAAAACAGTGCTAAATAACGGTCACTGCATACGTGTTTTATGTTTGAACAATTCACTTTTCTCCTTTACACAACTAAGATGTTTGTGTATTTTTTATTATACCTTGAGTTTGTACAGTAAAACTGCATTCTTATTGTGCACCTTGAACATGGAATAATTTGCAAAAAAAAAAACTTAAAACCAAATGAAATTGGGGTTTTCAGTGACTATTGGAAGCATGTGACTGTTTTTGTTGAGTGGACTGATTAAATGTTGTTATGTGGTGTTTATGTATTTTAAAATTGTTTTACTGTATGGCTGTTACTATGGCCAGGTCTCGCTTGTAAAAGAGATTTTAAATCTCAACGAGACTTCCTGGATAAATAATGGCAAAATAAATATATTTTTTCTCTCTCGTTTGTTTGTGCTTTCAGGTGATGTGATAGAACAGGCAGATATGTCTCGACCAATGTACAGTGACCGTCTGGACACTCCTCTGCCCGACAGACCTTACAAAGACATCCTCAGTGCTGCAGACAAGAGCCTGAAGCAGAAGGAGAAAGGGCCCTGGAACAACCTCTCCAATGAGGAGAAAATTGCCTGTTAGTACATTTAAGAATTAGTTTATTTCAGGACAAAATATTAAAAAGTTTTAGCATATTGCATCAGACCAAATGAGGAGACTGCCATCTGCCAAGAGATACCCACAATCACTGCAGTGAGCATGTAAGGTATGCTGCTGCTGCCCCATCTAGACTGGTGGAGATGGTGGGTTTCATAGGAACTGTGGGACTAGGTTTAGGAATCTATATAAGGGCTTTTCATTCTTGAACTTGTTAACCCTGGTTCATCCTTGACCCTGGGTAAATGGAGCCCCAGGTTATCTATACCTTGTGTAGCAGAGGCCAGCTAGTGAAGTGCTGTGCAGGTAAACCTCACTCCTCTGACCTCTCAAGGTGCTCTAGCGACAGACACTAGATGCTATGGCCTTTAGCCTCCTTGTTAGAGCAACCGTCTCCCATGCAGAGTGTTGCCGGTTTGATCCCAGCTTGGAGTGGGTTTTGGGTGGTTGTAGTGCGGCGGGGTTACACTGGTGCCATGACCCGAATGGGATTGAGGTTTATGGGTGAGTGTAGCAGAGGCCAGCTAGTGAAGGGCTGTGCAGGTAAACTTCACTCCTCTGACCTCTACAGCCGCCTTTCCACTGCACACGGCATTTGGACACGACTGTTGGAATACGGCAGTCGCACAGTATTATCAGTGTTGTCATGCACCACGGGGAGAAGCTGATTCTCACGGTGTCCGAAATAAAGGAGGGCAAATGCAAGAGCCTTTATTCTTTGTGCGTTTACATGGTTTAATGGATGAATGAATACTAGAAATGCATAGACCGCTAAAATATTGGAGGGAATGTGGAGACAACATTAAAAAATAATATTTTTATAACTTTCTAACTTACATTTACGAACAGAAAAGTTTTTTTAATATAGACCTTTAAAAAAATAACCAAATAAACTCATATTTCTCATCTCGCGCGCACGGATCTGCTTGGACAGCACTGGAATACATCATATCCGGTCGGCAGGTCGCATACGGTCTAGTCCCAGGAGTTCAAATATTTCAATGGATCCGCAGCTCAATTTGGATCCGGATTTTTCACATACGGAGATGATCAGAACTCAACGCAGCTCCCTGTTGTTTGTCGTGTGCAGTGGAAAGGAGGCTTAAAGGTGCTCTAGAGACCAATGCTAGAGGCCATGGTCTAGCCTCCTTGTTAGAGCAACCGACTCCCATGTGGAGAGTTGCTGGTTCAATCCCACTTTGTAGCGTGTTTGGGTGGTGTAGACTGACGGGGTTACACTTGGGTTAACAAATAATCCTGGATATTCAGACATTTAACGCGGTACATTAATAAACCCAGGGTTGATGTTCTTATTTGCAGTGTTACAGTCGCTGATTGGACAAACAGCATTCAACATTTTTACATCTTGTTAGTTATAAATTGTTGCAGTGTAGGTGTTTGGCTAAGCCTCATTAAATGCGCGAAGGCATGAAAACAAATTAAAAAGTAAATTTCCTGTTACTTACATGACATGAGCCTCATATGCTTCAAAACATATGCTCAATTTCTGATTGGCTGTCTGTTTCCAAGTGTCCAGCATTAACAATCAAACACTGCTCCGTTTCATACTGAACAAACTTAGCACTGCAATGTAGGTTAACACCACAAATGCTGAACTAATCCTGCTCTGGAGCAGGGTTTCAATACCTCAGCTAAAGAACGGCACCAACACCACTTACATAGTTACAAGTGTGGAAGATTTCTAAACTTGTGTTTGGAATGACAATAACCAGGGGTTAAGGTCAGTGTGAAAAGCCCCACAGTCAATCCAAATTGTACACCTAAAAAGTTAAATTCTCATTGTTTACATAAGTTATCTTATGGCAAAATAGAGGGTGACACAATGGCTCAGTGGTTAGCACTGTCACCTCACAGCTAGAAGGCTGCTGATTCAAGTCCTGGCTGGGACAGTTGGCATTTGTGTGTGGAGTTTGCATGTTCTCTGCATGTTGGTGTGGGTTTTCTCCGGGTGCTCCGGTTTCCCCCACAGTTCAAAAACATGCGCTATAGGTGAATTAAATAAGCGAAATTGTCTGTAGTGTATGTGTGTGAATGAGAGGGTGTATGGATGTTTCCCAGTACTGGATTGCAGCTGGAAGGGCATCCACTGTGTAAAACAAATGCTTGTTAAGTTGGCGGTTCATTCTGTTGTGGTGACCCCCGAAAAATAAAGGGCCTAAGCTGAAGGAAAATGAATGAATGAATAAATGAATAGCAAAATGGACAAAAAAGTGCACTTCTAAGTGTTCAAATATAAGACCTCTAAGTTAGTTTAACCATAACTGAAACTTTACTCTCCCTGAAGTTTTTCCAAACCTTTATGAGTTTCCTTATACTGTTGAACCCAAAAGATGAAATTTTGAAGAAAGAAGAAAACCGCTAACCATTGACGTCCATTGTAAGAAAAACAAATACTGCGAAGACCAACGGTTTCCATCATTCTTCAAAACATCTCTTTTGTGTGTGTTCTACAGAGGAAAGAAAATTAAACAGGTTTGGAACAAGTGCAGGGTGAGTAAATAATGACAGAACTTTCAGTTTTGGATGAACTCACACCTGTTAAATACCATCTACCTTTAACTATAGGAGATTATTTTAGGGGGCATGTCTATAGAGTGTTTAGCTATGATTCTTCAACACATTCTGCCCAACATTATGAACTCAACAACTGTGAATAACGTACATAAACACTGTAATGAATATGTATTAACTATTATCCTCAATGTCAGTGTATAGGATCATGTTTAATGAGACATTTGCGGAGATGAAGAAACCAACCGGTGAGTGGAAGACCGTGACGGCTGGGATCTTATTCTTCATTGGTTTCACTGGCCTGGTTGTTCTCTGGCAAAGGCTCTATGGTAAGAGATCATCTTAACATATTTGTTTTACAGTTGTTGATAAGATCTGTGGGCGTCACGGTGATGCAACGGGTAGTACGATCCCCTCACAGCAAGAAGGTCGCAGGTTCAAGCCCCAGCTGGGTCAATTGGCATTACATGTGGAGTTTGCATGTTCTCTCCATGTTGGCGTGGGTTTCCTCTGGGTTCTCCAGTTTCTCCCACAGTCCAAACACATGCAGTATAAGTGAATTGAATAGGCTAAATTGTTGTGGTGTATGTGTGTGAATGCAAAAGTGTATGGGTGTTTGCCAGTGATGGGTTGCAGCTGGAAGGGCATCCGCTGCGTAAAACATATGCTGGATAACTTGGCGGTTCATTCCGCTGTGGCGACCCCTGATGAATAAAGGGACTAAGCTAGGTAGGATCTGATCAGGTTTTACTTTTTGTTTTGCTTTCTCAGTGTATCCTCCTCAACCTCATACATTTGGAGATGAATGGCAGGCCAAGCAGATAAAGAGGATGCTGGATATGAAGATAAACCCTGTGCAGGGCTTCGCAGCCAAGTGGGACTATGAAAAGGGCCAGTGGAAATAAAGGGAATGCAGCGTCACATCCACACCTTGCCAATTACTACATTTTGCATTATTACACCGTCCCTTATGTGAACGTTTGAGATTTGTCCAATGGGCAACAGTCAACTTTGAAGGAGTAGACTAGAAAAACAATGTCCATGTAACTTAAAGCACACTTTTCTTTTTAATTGACTGTAGAAGTTGAACAAATGACATCTTGTTGTATGTTTGTATTAATTCAAGAATTAAAACAGACATAAAATAAGCACTAGGGCTGTCCTGTGAATTCAATGGGTCTTTATTTAATTTAATGATATCAGACATTTAAAAAAGTTCTAGGACATAAAACAATTAATTCAGGGGTGAAGCTGTTTAAATAAACCCAAAACCTTAAAAAAATAGTTTTTCTTTCTTGTCCTCTTATGCTTAGGTTAAGTTGGCTAAATACAAACACAATGAGCAACAAATACACTTCAAAAGAAATGATGATGAAGTTTTTAAGGCCATAGGAAGGAACAATATGCGTTTACACCAAATATCATAAATAATATTTTCAAATAATCAAATGCCTTAAATATTTTCACTAAGCTATGATGAGCTAGTCTAATTGTCATTTAAGTTAACTAGTTTACATAGTGTCGTGCCAATGCTGGTACATTTCACTCTAAAGCTTACTGTCAATCTCAAACCACACACGCTCAACCAAGCCCACACAAGCGCGCACACACACACACTCACTCACTTACTTACTTACTTACACACACACACACACACACACACACACACAAACTGCAACATGACAGACAGACACAGACTAAGCATGCAAGCAGCAAATTTCATAACACGGAATGTTTTCTGTGAAATCAGTGTCTACAGAGCAGCAAAAAGTGTAAATGTCGGCAACTTCAATTTGCTGAGACTCACCATATAATTTGTACATCGCTATTTAAACAGTTCACTCGCAACTTATGAGTGTAAAGAGCTGGATTTACAGTTGCCAGTTAAAATAGCTTTACATTTCAAACTTGAAGTCGACAACCCAAGTGGTATTCACAACCCATTTTACATACGCAATGAATGGGGTATATGCACAGCTAGTGTTTTTCAGCAAACTTTAAACTTCCGGTGAAAGCCTAATGTGACTATTATCAATTTCATAAGGTTCCTTTTAAAGCATCGAAGTTGTAATGTTAATAAAATACATTCAGTTAAATAGACTTAAGCATTCGTTTAGTTGTTCAAGCATAAAACAAAATGACAGATCGTGTAAACACTGGCGCCGTCAGTGGCAGCAGGCTAGCGCAAAAACTCCATTGAAAATACATTTTCATATTTTAAAGAGATGCCAGGGAAAAATTTTACTAAACGCAGTGCTTCTCGTCCAGACTGAGACTGACTTTATATTGTATATCAATCAGGCAGTGAGATCACTAATATTTAAAGAAATCAGATCTTAAACGTGGCAATTTTATAATGGAAAGACAAGTTCACCAGAAGCTCTGAGGCTGGCTGGCTGAAATTAAAAGTCTCTGTGCATATACCCCATCGCTTCTAGTAATCTAGAAAGTGTATGCGTTTCCCATCGAATCAGGAGTTGAAGGATTGTTATCACACTTGAACGGTTTCATAACGGCGTTAAATCATTACAAACTAATCACGCAGAAAGGCGAGTTGATGACGAGATAAGGATTGAAAAATGAGCAAGTTTTTACCTTCTTTGGATTAATGTGTACTGAAATTTCGGTCACAATAAAACTAAACAGAAAACGAAAATCGAATGAAGTAGTAAAGTGGGAGCATTTGACATATAGGCTGTCCCAAAACTTCGCTAACTTCTACAAGGAGCGAACTAGCGAGACGGTATCTTTTCTCATAGCCTACCTGTTTAAATGTTAACTTTCCGAGGAGCCCTATACCGCGGACATCTTATTTCTAGGTTAGGTCTCAAAGGATGTTACTTTTAGGCTTGGTATCTTTTGATTGACACAACAAAAGACAGATTCCCCGCGAGACCTGCAACCGGAGCTGAAGGCTGGTAACACACCTGTACCGTCACTACTTTCATCACCTCGGTTTGAATTAACCACCTCGTCAATCAAAGCAAGTCGAAAGAGGCGAGGAATATTCAACTCGACGTCCTATTTGAATTAATAATGATCTGAAGCCTAAAGTCGATTTCCCGTCATCTCCTAGCGCTTGATAGAGTTTGACACGAGACGGGCGTAAAAGCAGCAGGTGCGCGCATAAACTGACACGCGCTTAACCGCTCTGACAGCAAAGCATTTAAAATGAGATTCGGCGGGAATCTGGGGGAAATGGAGTGATTATCGTAGTTATTTTAAGGTTTGCAAATCGAAAACATGATCATGAATCATTCATTTGTTAACAGTTCCAAAAAGAGAGTTCAGTGAAATACTAAATATTTTGTTTTTCCATGGCAGCACCATGATGTTATCTGACCCATTATGTCTGTCAGCCAGGGTTTAAAATATCGTGGACAACTACACGGTAAGAATTAAAACAAAACCCAAAATGCTTTAATATCGGTGTAGAAATTGACATTTACACCTGGAAAGGTGAAAGGAACCTGAACTGAGACTAGCATTTGATCTTATCTACATAAGGTTGAATACACTGCAAAATTCAAACAAACTTTTGCTTCCGAACAACCACTGCATGTCATTACATACCTTAAATTCCAAATAAAACAAATCCCAGTATCTATTAGCTTCTTACAAATGCTAGAGCTGTATTCCCAGTACTAGTTACATCCTCATTCCCAAGAACATATAAGACACGGAGCGCTCTGGTGGCAATACGGTTTAATCTATTAACTTTTTGCTTTTATTAATATTTATTTCTGTGTTCAAAACACAGTTGTGGGCAGCCACAGACAGAACAAAGGTAAATTGCTCACTCCTTATGTATCCACGTCTCCTCTATACCCCTTTAGGATCTTGAAGATACCGAGTTATGCGTGATACCAAATCTGAAGCTGAAACTAAAGTTTAATAAATCAAACATCAAACAATAAACATACACAACTTCTTCTCAGAACAGAACTAATTTCTCATAACTGTTGGTCCTTTAGACAATTTTTGCTTCAGAGGTTTTTAAACCCGCCCATGCAGGTTCTCACACACATTTAAAGCAAATCAAATGTGCATATTTAATGGAACAGAACAATAATTGAAAAAAGATAGAAAACAACACATAAAACACACTCACACAGACATGTGTCATCTGCTTTCCACACTGTCCTCTAATGGTAGAGATGGCAGAGGAAGCGGGCGCTTCAGTGTAGTGCCAGGACGGTAAGGTGCCTCTCTGCTCTCGAGCTGATATCTGGCACTCCAGACAGCAACAACATTCCTCAGAAATGTCAGTGCTGATGTAATGACTGAATATTTCTAATTCAGTTCAGAAGCAACTTCTTCTCTATCATTAGGTCATTACCTCGAGAATCAAAATTAGCTTAAATTAGATTTAAAGATAAAATGTTTGTGTCCTTGTCAGTTTTTGCCAGTCTCTGAAAATAAGAGAATAATAAAGATACTTAAAAGGACTGATGATAAAGCTGAAAATAATCATTTATATTAAAACAAACAAACCAAAAATCTTAAAGACAGGACTATGGTTTAGTCATATGATTTTTCTCGACTGATTTAGTCATTTTTCTCATTTCGTTATAAAGGCTATAAGGAAACACGACTTTGCTTTTTCTCAGTCACTAAAAGCAAATCATCCTCATGCAGTCTGGGTCATGTGATGGGACATCACGGGTGCGCTCCACTCAGTCAACAGCACACGGTGGGACGTGGAATGTAAACATGAAATTTCTTGGCAATAAAAAGGGAAACAAATGTGAAACAAAAGTATTTGAAGTTCCTTCATGTTAGCTGGAGCTCTAAATTAAGCCATGGGTGTATTTGGATCTTCGGTTATCCTCATCTTCACAGGCGTTTCTGTGCAATGAGTCCCCCAACGACGACACCCGTGAGCAAGGTCATTCCTGCAAACAACCATTTCTTGAAGCTTTCTTGCGATTTCCTGCTTTCCGCCGCTGCATCTTTTCCAAAGATCTCTGCAAAGCGTTCCTGCACGAAAACACAAAGAATATAATCAATTTAACAACACAGCGCACAGTGATAGTAAGTGAAATCAATACTCTACTGTAAAGTAGATTGTTGCAATATGAATGTACTCCACATCCCACCATGTTGTCACTATTATACTTGTTGACTCATATACAGTTTTAAACCTAATACATAGTACAGAAGTATGAGGCACACCAAGTCTTAAGATATGATGTATATATAATAATAACCAGTGCTTCCAACACATAAGCTGTGTCTCATTTCAGAGGCTGTATCCTCTAAAGGATGCATTCGAAGTGCGCTGCGTCATCACGGCACGACGAAGGCTGTATCAAAAAATTTGAAGGCTTCTTCAAAATACAGCCTCAAAATGTGTCCTTCGTTTCCCAGATAATAAAGGACACAACCGGTGGATCCAGCCTCGAAGATCCCAAGATTCATTGCGCGCTGATAATGGCAGGTGGTTTTTAAAAGTAAACTCCAGTTTAAATGTATGAATTAGGTTTATTTTACGTGGATATCTAAATACATGTTAAAAAAAACAGAAAGAGTGAGACATATCTTACTAAAGAGTGATTTTATAGACAGTTTACATGTTTATGTGTACATGTATCGCTCAAAGGAAAAATATTTCCAGCTTTTATAAACCTTGTTTTGCCTAAATTACAAATTTTATTACCGTTTTATTAATAAATTTTATTACTGTTATTAACAGCAGCTGTTACGGTTGCCTTGTGATGAAATCTGTCCTCTGTAGGCTAGATCCTCTCATTTCTAATTGTTCGGTTAAGCCTGTTGGACTTCGAAGAACTCCCCTTTGAAGTTTACATCCTTCGGAGGATGCAGCTTCTGAAATAAGACACAGCTATTGACTTTACGCAGGCGGTCCAAAAAACTTGAATCTACGGAGTATATGACTGCTCAACTTCAATTAAAATTGGATATTTTTAAACAAAGATGGGCACCTGTTACTATGTATCTGAAAAGGACAAAGTATTTCCAGCTCCTTTGAAATTGAAAATGATGTATGTTTTTTCTTTGTAATTTGTTTTTATTTAAGTCTAATGTTACTTTTTTCTGACTTTTAATAAATCGCTGTTGTCACTGAATGTTTTGTTCTGTAAAATGTTTTGATGTATAAAAAAATACATTAATAACAATAATAATAATAATAATAATATTAAAGCAGTACTGCATTTTTTATTTCAATTAGGATATTTCTAAGGGAGAAAGGTTTTGTGGAAATGCATAATGTGCACAGTGTAAAAAAAAAAAATAGTCACATGCTATTCATAAAGCAGAGGAAATTATTATCATGCGCAACTATACCATTACATGAATTGACAAGCTCATTTCAGCCAACCACTGGGCTTATTCAGAGTCCCTCCTCCTCAGGCCTTCCAATAACCCTCCTTCTTCCTGTCCCACGTTTGTCTGCACTATAGTGCGTTCACACATTGTCCACAAGGGGGCAAGATTTACCACGTCTGCTTCAAAGGCTTTGCTAACCTCATTTCTCAGCAGGATTCTGTAGCAACCCCAATTTTATTTGAAAAGCTGAAAGGGGATTTCAGGCTTTATAACATAACCCGTTTCCTCAGGGAAGACACACAAAAGTAGAGCACACCAACTCTAGATGGAGGCTGAAGTAACTCAACCAGAGCACAGCAGTAAAAAGCAAATACTAATTATGAAAACTACAAATGTATGCATTCATTTCACACTAGCTCGATTTCTTGACAGAAATGTAAATTTTCTCATTTGCACCTTACTGCAAATTCAGGGTCAATTTGATCGGTTTCACCAGCATCACGGAGGTATTACAGCAATGCAGCGATCAAGCTTAAAATATTCAAAGCATGCAGGCTATTACAAAACACACACAGACACGCTCAAGCCTCAGACGCCCACCCCTGTTTTCCACTCAAGAAGACTGATGTCATCCTCAGTCTTTCCCTTTGCCCCAGTTATCCACACAAGCTTGAAAATATGTGGAAATAAATATGGAGGACAGGATAAAATCATCTGAGACTTTAAACCAGAGATGCCCAAAGTAGGCCCCGCAGGCTAAAGTTGGCCCATGGTAACCTACTGTTTGGCTCACCATCCTATCTGAAAACAGAGGTAGAATGATAGGGAGTGTGAATGCCTTTGACAGAAATAGTCATTTCCAATTTAACGTAACCTTTGTTTCTTTGTTTAATTGAGGAGCTACAAAAAAGCCAACTAAAATTAGATGTTGTAAGTGAATTAGACTTTTAAAATGTAAATACTGCCACTTGACAGATAGAGGACAATCAAGGCAAAGGCAGGAGCAGCTCGACTAGTGTATTTAGCATTGATCTCCATTGTGTTATAAATGGGATTGTTTTTGTTTTTACTATTCTAAAGTTCTTTAGAAAAACGTTAAAAATGAACTGCAACAGGAATTAATATGTATTAAAGCAACGTTTTCTAGTCATATATTTCTAGTCAACTTCCGCCCACAGTCCTCAACCAAGTTTGATTTTTGGCCCCTATAAGAAAAGTTTCGGCACCCTTGCTTTAAACACATACTAAAAATCGCAGCATTCAACATTCACAGCACAAAAGTGGGCTTTTCCTACAAGAATACAAATATGGAAAATGGAAGTTAGTTGCTTGAATTTGTTAATTGATTTCTAGCATAAAAAGAGGAGATTGACATAATACTGATATAATTTATTTAAAACTGACTGATTGTTGCGCAAATAATAGGTAATTTTATAGAACAATTTAAAGGGGGCAAGAAATGATGAGGAGGAGGAAATGGGACTGGAATATGAATATGATGCATTTGACTGAACTGCTTTGAGACCAAATTAATAATAAGTAAAGGAAGCAATCAGTTATGCTTTAAATGAAGATTGTGAATCATGAAATGTTACAAATAATACACACAGATGTCATCAATAACCTAAAAATATTACATGTATTAATAGAAAAAGACAAGAAAGGAGAAGCCAAAACCTCAACTGGATTCCACAAAGCCTTGGGTGGAGTTAAATCTATTATACTGTGTTTTGAATTGACAAAAAGGCGAGAATGAAAGGGAGTTGGATGAAAAGGTAAGCGACAGTAAAACAGTCAATGAAGAACATGTTTAAATTTGTGTGACGGGTGTACTCAAGGAGATTTCCACCTCATAGATTGGTAAAAGACATAACGATTTACATAAGAACTCCTTCAGATCGATTTCATAGGAAATGATTTCGAAAGCGTGAGAGAGGGGTGATGGGAGTGGCAGAGACTGATAACGAACATGTAGTTCCAGAGCAGTGGGTTATCACAACCAGTGACGCAACTTATGACATCACAAGTCAAGACCAAAACTCAAACAGCTGACAAATACTACTACAAATATTACTATTTTTATTATTATTATTAATAAAACAACTACAGGCTTTTTACAGTTTGGCTTAAAACGCTCAATCTATAACTTCCCCACAACACAAACAGCAATTAAGGTGACCTTTGGGGTCAATACAGTCAAGACAAAAGTTTGCTTACCAATTTAAGTGAATTGTCTCCGATATGACTCATATCTGTCGCATAAAGAGTGGAGAATGAATATGAATTGAAACCTAAAACCAAAGTATGAGTCATTAAACTCTTCACACCCCCACCTCAATCAAACACACTGCATTATACATGTGATTAGCTACTGATCACAAAACTGTATGTAGGTTGCTTCCCATGATTACAAAAACAGTTCAGCAAGAAAATTTTTGTTTTTCATTTGGTGTGGCAAAATTACATTATTTGAGTTCATACTCCTGACAAAAGCGCATTTTGTGGGTGTCAGGGAGCCAGTATGAGTACTTTTCTGGGAGAGGTGGGATGTCTGGTTTTGTTCACCTCCCTTCTTCTGTCTTCATTATGTTTTACGAGAAATCCAAAATGCTCCAATACATGCAATTTGAATGGCTTTTCGAGTACGTCTGTTCCTCTGCTGGCCATGTTGTTGACTGATTAACATGCCCCATTCACATGAAAATGATTTCCTGCTCTCATTTATTACATAAAGCAATACTTGCAGAAAAATTTACGTTTTTCTCTGCGATCATTAAAAATATATATTATTATACATCAAGCTAAAAACATTAGTTATTACAAACTGACCGTGGGTCATGATCCGCATGATCACTGATTTGTTGCACAACCTACTTCCTACAGAGACTTTAACATCATACTAGGACAATGAACCATAAAGTAAACTACCGTTTCAGCACACAGCGAGATGAAAAGTAAATATAACTTTGCTTGTGCACTTCCTCAGGCACGCCTTTGTCAGCCTTGGATAGGTTAAACACGACCTGTGTTGACCTTAGTGTCATCCTGAATGGCGGACAGGGAGGGTGTGCTACAGTCAATAAAGTCAGATGGAATTTGCATGATGCTTTTACATGAGTAACCCCTGCAGGAATGCTAACAGTATGACCTTATAGCAAAACTAAGCCTTTTGTACACACAAATTAGAGAAGATCGGTAGTGCGAAACTCTGAGAACAAGGTGGGAACCATGTAGAATGGTATGAGAGGAATGCGCTGCTTTGATCAAAGTCATAAATCTAAGGCATGTTAAGGCTTGCTTGCTGGCAGTAAGATTATGAAGTAACACACCACACCCCCCATAGCGTTTCATGCAAAAGGCAACGTGTAGGCAGTGTGAATTTGACAGACAGATCCAGGAGGTATGACTTAACCTTTCTGTAGCAGACATTGTTGCAGAGTGAGTAAGCAAAACATCTCTCATGCATAAAAATGCAAGCATGTACCTCATCGGTCCTTGTTGGACCGATATTTTGATCAATGTTTATATAGAAGCAGAAGCCTGAGTCTCAATTAAAGGTGCAGTATGCAAGTTTGACACCTAAAGGTTGAATTAGGTATTGCATTCCTGGATCAAAACAAATGCAAGCGCAGGTTGCCAGACGGTTGCCAGATTGAAGACCAACAGGAGTGAGTCTGCTGATCGAGCCT